AGTAGTGATCCGTAGTGATCTGATTGTTTACAGCCTCCCAAGAGCTGGGACCACCACCTCCAGTCTCAATTGCTGTCTCAGTGCGCCCTGGGGGTAGGGCCCGCACGGCAGGCCAGGGGATCAAACCTTTGGGCCCTGCGCTTGCTTCCAGGCACTTTAATCAGCTGAGCTATTTGGCCAGCTCTCTAAATATATTTCAAAATGCAGATGAAATGAGTATCGCTAAAATTTCAAGGGACCAAAAAATATTTTCGTTTGCTAAATATAGACCAAAATTATTAATTAAAAAATTAAAATAAAAAAGCATGCATTTTCACAAAATGAATAATTCAGAGTTTTAAAAAAACACAATGGGGAAAACCCTGTTTTAAAAATTAGGGATAATAAAAATAAATACAAATAAATTAACAAGAAATGTATGGACCCTACACAATGACCAGCAAATATATTGCCAAAAAATACAAAAGTAAATGATGGTACCATATCATCCTTTGATTAGACAAATAATTAATACTTTAAAGATACTAATTATTTTCTTACAAATCTATTGATTTAAAATAATTCTAGAGGAATCAGCTTAGTTTTTACAAAATTATTCTAGACATGTCTAAAAAAGAACTCCTAAAAAACTATGAAGTGGGGAGAAGAGCATAGCCCTGACAGGTTTATATGAAAGCAAACTATGAATCCATAAAACTAATGAATATAGAATGTTCTCTCAATTAAACAAATTAAATAAACTTTCTTTAATTTCTTTCAATGACACTTTGTAGTTTTCAGAGAACAAGTTTTAGGAACACCTTTTATCAAATTTATTCCTAAATTTATATTCTTTGATGCTAAACAAAATTTAGGAATACATAAAGGTCATTATAAAAGAATGTGCTATAAGGAAGACTGGGGAAAACCATTTTAGTAGTATACGTGAAAATAGATTTAAGATAAAGTGAAAAAGCCAATGTCAAAACTGGTGAAGTATGCCTGTAATCCCAGCACTATAGATTGCTACAGCAAGAGGATCCTGAGTTCAAACCTTGCTGTGGCAACTCCATGACTTAGTGAGAAACTGTCTCAAAATTTAAAAATATAAAAATAAAAAGAGCTGGGGAGATAGTTCAGTGTAAAGAACACGGGTTTAATACCCAATATTACAAGAACTAAATTAAAATAACTAAACAAAACCAGACTCAGTGGTAGTTGACATTCAAGCTAAGTAGCTGATGCAAGAAGACCACAAGATCAGGGTAATCCTGAGTAATTAAGCAAAGTAATTAATTAATTAATTAATTATAAGAGCTGGAATGTTACTCGGAGTACTAGCCTAGCATGTAGGAGACAGACCCTGGGTTCAATCACCAGTGCCACAAAAAAAATTTAATGAAACACATGTAAAGGAATACAACTGTGCTGAACATTAACCTTTCTTTTGAATATAAATGTGTTTTACAAGTATAATGAGTAAAACTTTATATATTAAGATGTTTCTCCAGATCAAGCCCAGGCCTAGTGAGTGTGTGGGAAAGCTTTGGTCTACCATGGGCCAGGCAGACCTACCGGTCCCACAGGCACAGGGTGGGTGAGACCCTCTTCCACCCCCTTGGGACCCCCACCACCACTCCGCAGCACCCCTCACACCCAACCCACCTAGTAGGAATTTCTGCTGCATTCCGGCAACCCCCAGATCCAGTCCTAGTCCAGGCCCAGTGAGTGTGTGGGAGAGCTTCCAACTACCCTGCACCAGAGAGACCTACAGGACCCAGCCCAGGGGCAGTGTGGATAAGGCCCTCTTCAACCCCTTGTACCCATGCCTAACACTCCACAGCACCCTCCCACCCCGCCCACTGCATGAGAATTTCTGCCGCATTCGAAGGACCCCCAGATCCAGTTCAAGAACAGACACCAGGAGTGTGTGGGAGAGCTTCTGGCTACCCTGCGCCAGCGGGACCTGCCGGTCCCAGCACAGGCACAGCGTGGGTGAGACCCTCTTCCACCCTCTTAGGGCCCCACCATAACTCCGCAGCAACCCCAACCCTGCCTACCCAGTGAGAATTTCTGCCCTGTTCTGAGGACTCCCAGATCCAGTCCTAGACCAGGCCCAGTGAGTGTGTGGAAGAGCTGCCTCTCCCCACTACTCCACCTTGTCCCCTCCAGACTCATCTCAAGCCTGGCATACAGGTCTGAGGTGAAATCCTGCAGCTGCAATCCCTGCAGAGAGTGTAGGGGACAGAACCACCCAGCTAGTCCAGTGAGCAGAACATCTTGCCAGAGGGGCACAACAGGTTCACCCCGAAGGGCAGCAGAAGGAAGGAGTTGAGCACAGCAGCCAGACCCAAGCCAGGCACACCTGGATAAATCCAAACTTTGTAGATCTGCACCTGAACTTCAGTACATGCTAAGGTTAAAACTGTACCAAAGCTCTACAACAAAGGTCAGAAGACAATGATACACAAAATGACAATGAGAAGGAGCAAAATGCAATCTCAGAACCCAAGCCCACCCATAACAAGTGCAGAGGACACTAACACAGAACAAATTGGGAATCACACAGCTGAAAGCAATGAAACAACAGTTTCTGAAATAAAGAAACAGCTGCAGAAAGGTATAGAGGAACTCAGATTGGAAATGAAAAAAGAAATCCTTGAATTAATAACATCTGAAGTAAAGAACCAAATGCAGAAACATATGGAGGAAACCCAATACCCATCCAGAACAAGTGCAGAGGACACTAGCTCGGCTCAAATGTATGAATTAATAGCATTGATAGTAAATAAGCAAGAGGAGAAAGTCATAGAGGAACTCAGAGTGGAATTCTTTTCTTAAACACCATTTCTATTTATTTATGTATTTTTGGTGGAACCAGGGATTGAACTCATGCCCTTGCTCTTGCAAGGGAAGTGCTTATTCCTCTAAGCCATCTCCCTGGCCCTGGAATTCTTTTCTACTAGCTCAGCTCAAATGTACGAATTGATAGCGTCGATAGTAAATAAGCAACAGCAGAAAGCTATAGAGGAACTCAGAGTGGAATTTTCTGAAATAAGAAAATAATTCTCGGAACTCATAGCATCTGAAGTACAGAATCAACTACAGAAACATAAGGAGGAAACACAATCTGAAAAAAAAAACTACAGTAAAAGAATTAATAACTGCTTCTAAAGAAGACATTGATAAAAAAAAATAGAGATTAGAAAAATGACAGATTCCTTGAATGAGCAATACAGGAAAGAAATAGATTGCATGAAGCAGAGTCAAAGAGATATAGAGGAATTTAAAATCTCAATCATAAGCTTGCGAAACCGTTTACATGAAAGTGAAGACAGAGTTTCGGATTTTGAAGATGCTGGTGCAGCTAGTGAAAAGGTAAGAAAGGATCTCTTAAAAACATCGAGGATGCAGGAAAAAAATAATCCATCACCTGCAAGATGATGCAAAAATGAACAATGTGAGACTAATAGGCATCAATGAGAAAGAAGGAGTCAATACAAAGGACATTAAAAAATATGGGCAGAAGTAATAGCAGAAAACTTCCCAAATAGGAGGAAACAATCTGATATTCAGGGAACTGAAGCATACAGAATGCCAAGTAACCTCAACCAAATATATAATAATAAAATAAATTGGATTTATCAAACTTCAAAACTCATGTTTCACAACCCAAATTCCCATCAACCAAGGAATGGATAAAAAAGATGTGGTTTTTTGATACAATGGAGTACTATTTAGCCATAAAGAAAAATAAACTGGAGACTTTTATAGGTGAGTGGATACAACTCGAGACCATATTCATAAGGGAAATAAACCTGACAGAAATGTGCAAACATGGTACTATCTCCCTCGTGTGAGAAGCTGAAAAAGTAAGATCCAAAGCATATGATGGATATTGTACAATAAGAAGAAACAGTTCAAAAGGAAAGAGAAACTGTGATGGGGGAAAGGAAAAGCAAGAAAAATATACATGTATTTATATATGCATGTGTATATTATACATATGTAGATATACTATGTACATATACATATATATGTGTATAGGATAGTTAAGATAGTTATAGTATTAGTTTCTTTTAGTTAAATGAAAGGAAAGGTTTGTGCTGATATTGTTTGCACAATTAAATGCCCCTATCTTATACTCTGAGTAACAAATTTACAGATAGTATGTAATGTGTTAACCATTGTACCCGCCTATTATTTTGTTCTAAAATTTTCAAGTTTTTTCCTCTTTAAAATTAAAAAAAAAATGTCATGTTTCAAAGAACACATTGAGTAGAAAGCCAATCCACAGAATAGGAGTAATTTTTATAAACCATGTATCTGATAAGGGACTTGTATTAGCATATATGAAGAATTCTTAAAACTCAATAATAAAAATACAATTTCTAAATGATCAAAGAAGATGAACAGGTATTTCTCCAGTTGAGACCCATGAATGATTAAGAACACATGAATAGGTACCCAACATCAGGGACAAGAGAGACACAGGAACATCCATCATGAGACCTGCTACTCTACACCTGCAGATGATGGCAGGGCTGTGGGGACTGGAAATGTCATAACTACAGGTGGGACAGGTGGGAATGTAAATTGGTGCAATACTTTGGAAAATTGTCAGTTCTTTAAGCAATTAAACTTACAGTGACCATATAACTGAGCCACTCTTAGGTATGGTTATTGAATTTTGTAACTCAGATATGCAAAACGAAGTATATATTGTATGTAAAATTATATAGATGGACTACAATGAGCAAGTATTATTTCATTATTATATTATTTTCCAGCCATAAAAAGTAACTTTTAAATAAAAACTATAGGCAAATGAGAATTTCTCCCTAACATAAAGAAAGAATTAAAAGAGAAACCAGAAAAGAAGCATTGTGGAGAGAGATACAGGCAGCTGCCTAAACAAAGTGGTCACAAGAGCGCTTCTATGGGCACAAGCCAGCACCCAGGAATGAAATGACAGGTGTCAGCAGAGTGCTCGTCCATGCAGTCAGCAACTCATCCATTACCTGCTTTAGAAGTAACAAGCTGCAGCACAAGAGGTCGTCTTGTCACGATGCCTGATCCTCGAGGAAGAAAGTCCCTAAAAAGATAAGAAATAATAAATTAAGTCATTCAGGAATTCTGATCATCTATAATCATAAGTACTTGAGGTCTACCATGATTCTTTTAATTCCCCATCTTTCAATGTATCATCTAAAGAAGATGAGATCTGGGCTGGGGAGATAGCTTAGCAGCCTAAGCACCTATCTGGCAGGTGCAAGGTCCCGAGTTTGATCCAGGGTACCCATGCCATGCCAGCGGTACCACAACTCTGAGTGTACCATGCTGGCTCCAAAACAGGGCGTGATAGTGCATGCCTGTAATCCGAGCACTGACGAGACTGAGACAGGAGGATTGCTATCAGTATGAACTGTGGAGCGAGATCCTATACCAAAAGAATAAAAATGTTTTAAAAATAAAGAAATGAAAACTAAAGAAGGCTACATCCATCTGTAAGAGGGGCATCCACAAAGTTTTAAAAAGAAGGGAGAGGGCCATATTTTGAGTATTGACCTATTATTATCATGACTTCATGAGTTCATGGAATACATTGACCCACACCTGTTTTATTTTGCTGGAGTTAATCAAAAATTGCATTAAGATTTTTTTATTTATCATTTTCATTTTCAGAGAATGAACACTAATAGAAATGTCTGATGTTGAAATCAAACCTGAGGCTTGATTTTAACATGTCAGTACCCTCTTTGACTTCAAGGTCAATATTAGCATTATCAAATACTGACCATTACTAAGACAGTACTTTGCTTTGAACTACCGTGAAGCTTTTCTCCAAAAGGAAATAAAAAATCTGAGATCAACTGGTAACAAATATTGTATCTACAGAAACTGAAGTGAGAAAAAATATTGCAACTTGAGTTTAGTTTCTTCCCATTCCTGATAAATGGTAGTCTCAGGCATGTTAATATACTCTACACCAATAAAACTGCAGAGAAGAAAGCATGGCATAACATTTCACTGGCAAGGCCAAAGGAGTCATTACTAATTCTACACTGTTGAAGAATTATAAACAGACCAGTAACACAATATTTACGCACACTTCGAATGCCTCACAAGTTTGGAAAGAATCATCCTACAACTTTATTCAAAATAAACTTTTGGCTCAAAAGAGTTTCTCAAAAGTAGTTCCAGGGCCACCAGGGAGTATTACAACCCAGGCACCCAGGACCTATCCTGGACCTACAAATCTGATAACAATAGTGTACACTGTACTATGAGTGCTGTATGTAGAACAAAATGTCAACACCTGTGAGATTTCAATGAATGAAATGAGCAAAGGCCGGTGGGAATGCCCCAAATCTCACGCTGTCGGTTACACTGGTAGAGTGCTACAGAAGCAGAAGTAAGCAAACTTTCACCCCCTCCTGTTTTATTTTGCAAATGCCAAGGTACATTCTGAGAAATGACATAGTACCGTACAATCCCTAAACTACTGACTTGCTTCTTAATTCTGAGGGCTCAAGGTCAAATAGAATGTTACTATATGCAAGTGAAATAGAACAGTGAAGCACAGATTTGTGTTTGTTCTAAAATATGCCACTTGAAATACAAAGTATTATCTATTTGGAAATCTGAGAAACAAAGGAATGCTAGCGAGATGCTTTGAGAATGGCCCCATGCTGGGTAGTCAGTGTGTGCACCAAAGTTTGAATGATGATGGGAAGACAATGACATTAACACAGAAAAGCCTTAAAGACATGAACTAACCTGGAGGGTTTCCTTTTTTATCTGTTGCTTTGTTTTGTTTTGTTTTGTTTTGTTTTGTTTTGTTTTGTTTTGTACCAGGAATCAAACTCAGGACCTTGCACTTGCCAGGAATGCACTTATGCCACTATCTCCCAGCTTTTTTGTATTTTTTTTTTCTTTTTTATGTATTTAGTACAGGGTCTCACTACACAGACAGGACTCTCGTAGAGATTCTCCTATTTTCAGCCTCCCAAGTGCTGGGATTACAGGCACACACCACCACACCCAGTCTCCATCATCACCATCTCAGTGCGCACCAGGGATTGAACCCAGCCACGGCACTTTGCTTAAGCAGGTACTTTAGTCCACTGAGCTATTTGGCTGGCCCGCTTTTTTGTCTTTTTGAGGCAGGGTCTCACTATGCAGTTCAGACTGCCCTTGAGCTCACTTTGTACCCCAGGCTGGTCTCAAACTCAGCAATCCTTCTGCCTCAGAGTGTTGCTACCTTAGAGTTAAAAAAAAAAAAAAAAAAAAAAAAAGGAGCAACCAACACTCCCCTTATAGTGGTGTTCTTATAGCCACATATTCTTTCAATGTTTTCCAGGAATTCTATTAGAATAGTTGCTAATTGAGATGGTTGCAATGATCATTTTAAAATTTAATTAAAATGAACAAAGCATCGATTCTGTGCCTAAAGCCAAAAAGGGAAAAGTTGATTTGAAAATCAAGATGAATAAAAACAAAAGAAAGCCCCAGAATAAAGAGCTGGAGAGAATTTGAGTTGTCATGGGAGAAATTTCAGGATGTTTCCATATTGAAGAGAAGTAAAAGGTTTTATATGCCTGAATAATGTCATTAGTACATCAATATAATATATATGTTTTTAAACAAAAAAGAGGAAGGAAGGGAAGGGAAGGGAAGGGAGGGGAGGGGAGGAGGGGAAGGGAAAGAAGGAAAGGGAAAGGGAAGGAGAGGGGGGGAGGAGAGGTGGAGGGGAGGGCAGGGAAGGGAGGAAAGATAGAGGTGTAGAGGAGGGGAAGGGGGAGGGGGAGGGGAGGGAAGGGAGCTTAGTTACTTTACATCCTCACTCTGGGACCTGTTTGGACTCATCCTGTGGCTACACACTTAGGATATAGATTTAGTAGCAATTTCTGTGAATAGTATGAAAGCAAATGTATTTAATATTTTAAACAGCAAAAAATTGTCATAAGTTTGAATGAAAAACTAAGCCCAAGGGGCTTAGGATGTGGTTCAGTAGGACAGCCCTTGTCAAGCATCTGCAAGGCCCTGGGTTTGACTCTAGCATTAGAAGAAAAAAAAAAAAAAAAGTAAATGAAAAACCCACAGATGCATCAGATGCTTTTCTCTGCTTCTTTAACTTAAGAAGAACTTTGCCTTACGAGTAATAAGCAGATCCAGGTGTGCAAGCGCATTCTCACATCTGCAGATTCCTCTGTGGCTCTCACCCTCCACCACCAATGCATACATTTTCAGCCAGCACTAAAAAGATCAGTTAACCAAATCTTCCTGTTTGCTCATCTTTTCTGCTTCATAGGAGTCTCCACCATGCAGCAAAGCACTACAGAGTTCCTCTCTAATGAAAAGTGAGCAGCTAATCTGGCATCCTGGAAATCCATTTCATTCTGGTGACCCAGAAGAGAAGAAAAATAGGGGCTGAGGAGATGGCTCAGTAGAATAAGTGCTTCCCTGGCAAGCGCAAGGGCCTGAGTTCAATCCCTGATTCTGCCAAAAAGAAAAAAGAAAAAAGAAAAAGAAGA